CAATTGATTAAATACCAAATTTAAAGGAAATCTAACCAAAATCAAAGCTAAAAATTAAACAACGCAAACAAATAACTCATTTTTTGTGATTTTACATATATTTGTGAAATCCTAATTACTAATTAATAAGATAAAATCCTAAACGCAAATGCAATGCGAATTTTGTACTATTTTCTATGAATCATGTCATCTAAAATGCTCACAGTAAAAATGCAAATAAACACGAAAATTGTGCAATTAATTCTTACAAATTAAACAATTAAAAGAGAAAATCATAAATTAAATAAATCTGTAGGAGTAATTCGTGCAAGGCAAAAATCACATGCTCACAATATGTTTTGTATCTTCCCTTTTGAGGTCTTCCTGGCTGCTTTTTCTCTCCCGTAGGTGGTTTTACGACTTCATCAGATATATGTTGTGGCACATTCCATTTGCTTTCATCAGGAAGGGGATTTACTGGCATTTCATATGTACGGAGTAGGCTCTCCCTTGTGTAATACGGCGAGCAATAATTTTCATATCCTTCATTCCTGTCCCTTAAAGCTGCCAAAGCATGCGCACATGGAATTTCATCAAGTTGGAACTGGCCACAAGTACATTTCTTGTTTTCAAGACACGCAATGTACTGCTTCACACCATCTATCACAGTATAGATAAGATCCGTTGAAGCCCTCGCCTACAATTACATAACAAACAGAAAGAAAAATATTTAAAATTCATAAAAATAGTTTATCTACAATTATCTTCAACTTATCTACAATTTATCTACAAATGATCTACCATCTACAAATTAACTACAGTTTGTCTACAATTTATCTACATTCTGCAAACACTTTATATAAAAATATTATTATTCTCCATAAAATAAAGAGATCTTACCCTAAGTTTCTGAGATAATATACTGTTTTTCTCCAATCCTTTGTTGAATTTATACCCAAGGTATGCGAAAGTACCCTTTGCCTTCAACAACTTCTCTTTCGTCCAACGTTCAAGAAGTGTCCTCATATACTCTAATAGGTCAAATATAGGCAGCTCTCTTGCATATTTTGTTACAACATTCAACGACTCTGCAATGTTTGATATTATAGTCCAAGTTCTATTCACCGTTGCATGTACTCTTGACCATCTATGATAGCCAATATCATAGAGGTATGATTTAACACGAGGGTCTATCTCTTCAATCTTCGACATCCTTTCATTAAATTTAGTGTATGACCCTGCTGTAGCAAAGTACAATTCATTTAATTGTAGATGACCCTTCTTGAACTTTGCCCTTATATTTGTCCAAATATGCCACACGCAAGAGTAGTGTGGCATGCCCGGATAGACAATTGATGTTGCCTTCAGGATACTCTCATTCCTATCTGAAACAACACACATTGAAGTTCTTTTGCCATATGCTAGCTTGAATTGCTCAAAAAACCACTTCCACGATGCGTCGTTTTCCGAATCAACCACTGCATATGCCAAAAGCAATATTGTTCCTACATTATTAATAAAAATTTAATTAACTGGCAGCTTTGAAATTGAATAGAAAGACACAAATACGTATAAACTACAAGATATCTACAATTTACAAACTGCCTACAAAATAACAACAAAATAACTACATTTATACCTGTTGCATCCATTGTGCTTGCTGTCAGCATAATTCCCCTATAGGCTGTCTTTAAGAATGTCCCATCAACCACTACTACTGGTCTACAATATTCCCAACCACTTATTGATGTAGAAAGAGCAACAAATGCATATAAGAAGCATTCATCGGTTGTCTTCTTCAATTTAACAATTGAACCAGGATACGTCTTCTCAAGAATATAAAAATATTTTGGTAATTTGTTGTAGGAGTCAGCCGGATGACCTCTCAATAACTGTAAAGCCTTTTCATTTGCCCTCCATGCTTGCATGTAGCTTAGGTTCACTCCATGTTGGGATAACATGTCAGTTTGTATGTCCTTTGGTGTGTAAACTGTCTTAGGATCACAATACTTTGGCATGACCATTCTACCAACTACAACTGCAGTACATTTGCGCTGTATGAATGTATCGTCCATTAAGGAGCATGTGTGTTGTCGGTTGAAACTCCTTATCTTGAACATTGCGGAATCATTAATTGATGTTGCCTTGAAGTACCATTTACAGTTTTCACCAACGCATACAAGCCAGTAGCTTCCAAAAAAATACAGTATTTAATACAAATTGTAAATGTAGGTGCAACAAAAGGCCTGTTTTACCATAAACTAACATAAACTACAATTTAACTACAATGTAACTACAATTTTTAAAATATTTTTTTACTTCACTAAAACACTGCTTTTATTGATATTTTCTCCATACCTTCTATGACTAGATCTTTTAACTCTGAACTGGAACTTGTGCTTCACAGAAAAGTGCTTCATTGCAGCAACTACAGTTTGCTTGTCCTGATACACTTGTCCTTCTTCAATATCAGTCTGCGTAGAATCTTTTATTATTTCACTTTGATATTCCTCTATAGCTGGAGAGGATGGCATATCAAGTAACTTTAGGTATCCAGACGAACCTGCATCAATATAAAGAAAAACAGTGTCAGACATTGTATTTAAATTGTATAAATGTAGTTTCAATTGTAGTTAAATGCAGATATATTGTAGTTAATATCGTAAAACCATAATTCTATGCAATTTCTAACTATACAAACCTGCACTTGTGCTATCGTTGGTGATTGCCAATTCCATATTGAAATCTCGTACACTTATACATACCGGATATGAACCTAAGTTTTTATTCTCCTTTTTGGTCTCCATATACACACTAACCCCCATATCATTCCTAATCTCCATTGGGGGACAATGTCGTTCACGATGCATTTGATTTCTACGATTTTTTCTGTAGTATCAATCGATAGTTGTTCTGCAATTATAGAAACCAAAATATTGTAGCTTGCATTCACATCTACCACAATGGCATCAACTTTAAAATCCCTAAATCTCACATAGTTGTCCCAAATCCCATTGAATTGTAGCATTATTGCGACTTTCGACATGATTGCTTGTTGTTGGTGGTGTTTTTTTTGTATTTCTAGATTGAGAGAAGAAAAGATGAAGAACAGATATATGATCGACAATTTGATTTCTGAAAATAGCAATTCGTTGAAGCTATTCGTAGTTGAATCTCGAAGATTTGAATTTAGTTCGTTGAAGCTGTTCGTACTTTTTGAAGCTGTACGTAATTTTTTTCCTTAAATTTTGAATTGTAGTTTAAGAGAAAAATATGCTGATGAGAATATTCCTTTCCGTTTCAAAAATTGATTTTAATGTAGAATCAATCTATCAGGATTCTTTCCTGATTTTTAGCGCGTTTTTAGGGAATATTCTGCCCTTTTAATACCTAATAAACGAATGGTACATAAATTATAAGAAAAATGTGAATTGAACGGGTAATTTAGATACTATAAACATTTTTGGTAATAAAGTTTCACATATGGTATAGATAGGAAAAAATCTCATGATAAAATATGGGTCTACAATAGAGCTGATTGACTCGTCCAACCGCATGGCTCATTTGTTTAGAATAAATGGACTTTGACAAAAATTAAACGTTTCGCGCACTCTGGGTTTAACAATGATTTTTAACATTTAACAACGTACAAGTTGATAATATCTAATAATCAATTATTAAACCAACATTGTTTTCATATCCGTAGTTAATATTTTGAACTCTTAATAAGTAATGTTTCTTTAAACTCTTTTTATATTATTCACAGGCCTACGGTTATACGGAAGTAAAGATATAATACTTAAGTTGTGAATATATAAATATGAGCCTGGTCAATGCAATGATAGTAATGTTAATATGGGGCGAAGTTTGGGTCATCTTTTTAAAAGCCCTTGGGTAAAGGGAATAATGTGGGGAACAATTAACCCAAATAGCTGCTCACACAATCACTTAAACTAAAAATAGTCGGTGGAAGTATATTTTATGTATTATATGTGTATAATGTATGTATATGGCTAGAATATGGGCCTAAAAATTTAAATAAAATTAGTTTGAGCTTATCATATCTTGGTGCAAACCTGGCATTTACAAGCCCACTCCCTAAATGCATGCAGGGGTTGCCTGATAGGCCTATGAGCAATGTACTATTTTGCATTTTGTTACTGACCAAGTGACCAGTATTATCGGATTTTCCAGTTAACAGGTAAATAAAGTAGAAGAAAAAAGAGATTTTTACCCAAATAGCCGGTGATATTAATTGTTTGCTTTTTGTAGCCATATACACAAATTATACATAATTTGCATATATTATATATTCATCGGCTATTTTTAGTTTAAGTGGTAGGGTGAGCGGTTATTTGGATTAATTCTTCAAGAAAAAATTAGCAAAAATTGATGATTTAAATGTTTAAATACTTCGAGAGGATCTCATGCTACAAGCTAAGGTCATTAAGAGACAATACATATCTGGTACATCATTGGTGAAATTAGGATTTTCGTTTAGGAGGGTGATTTTCAAAAATAGCCAGATTTACAACTGGTCGTTCAAAAACAGCCCAATTTCAAAAGTAATCGAAATTTAGCCACTTTTTATGTAAAGATAAATCTGAGCGAAAACACTGTTCAAAACCCGAAAAATACTCCAGTATATTATGCTGGAGTTCCAGCATATTATGCTGGAGTTCCAGCATAAGTATACTTGAACTCCAGCATATTATACTGGAGTTCCATGATAGTATGCTGGAACTCCAACATAATATGATGGAGTTCCAGCATAAATACACTAGAACTCCAGCATAATATACTGGAGTTCCAGCAACTATAATGGTCCAGTATAATATACTGGAGTTTGGAGCACCAGTGCTCCAGTCTCCAGTATATTATACTGGAGCCAGCAAAGTATACCGGTCCAGCATAATATACTGGAGTTCATACACAAGTGCACCGAACTCCAGTATATTATGCTGGACCGGTCTCTATTGCAGCAAAACGGTGGCTATTTTTCATTGACTTGGTAAACGCTGGCTATTTTTGATTGACCAGTCCGAAAATTGGCTATACCGTGAAATTTGTTCAAAATTTGATATACAATGTAAGATGTGATACAATTTTTTAGAGAAGAGTATTCAGCTGACCATCATTCGCCGGCTTTTCACTTAAAATAAAAATCGGTGGACACAACTGAAAATGGAAATCCGTAAAGAAGAAAGTCAGAAATAGAAGAGCCAGAACCCAGAAATAAGATCACAAATGGTAATTTAGCGTGAAAAAGAGCTGACAAACCTGCATCTTATGACCACATTTAAATTTACGGAAAAGGTCCAAAAACCCTGAACTTTACGAAAAGGTCTACAAATAACCCTCGTTAGAATTTTGGCTCATAATCAACCTTGTCGTTACAATCTTGGCTCGGATACCCCTTATTTTCAAATGGCTGCCACAGTGGATATGTCATCCACTCATAAATTGACATGTATATTTTTATTTATAATAAACCACCCCTTTTAATTCATATCCAATCGGATTTAAATAACCCTTTCCGTTACCTGACCCAGAAAACTTAACCCGCCTAAAATCTTCGTCTTCTGTTGGAGCCAGCAAGTTAAGATCTATAAACCCATTTGGAAATTTGACATAACTTGATTCCATTAAACTATCGCCAACTTTTGCTGAAGAAGAAGCAGTGTTTGATGAACTCAAAAGATGTGATCTTTTATGTCCATCCAATGCTTGACCCGACCCGTGTAGTTTTCCACAAAATGGACATTCATGCACTTTCTAATCCACATTCTTCAATCTCAATTGTCTCGAATTTTCTTTTGACTTGATCCCCTCGTTTTTGTCTTCAATGTAAGAGTTGTCTTCTTGTGAATTGTTTTATGACTGCCTAAAGCTTCAGATGACTTTAACACTTTGGTACAAATATCATATTGGTACTTCCCTTGTTTTTGATTTCTAAATTTTGACTCGTGGGACTCATATGAACTTCTCCATACATCTTTAGAAAGCATCATTAGACAAATAACAATGTCTTATTCAGGGGAAGTATCGGAAAACGAACTCATGGGTCTGGTTCAGGTTCAAATTTAGATGATTTTTCCTTTTTCACTTCCATTGCTTCTCCTGATATGAACATTCTTCCGGTTCTCTTAGATCTCCTCTGAATTGGCTTCTTGTTGACTTAGTTTCAGTTTCACTTTCCCTGTCATGTACTGCAACTGACCCAACACCATCCAAAAACACAAGATTTACAATCTTACAACCCTTCTTTGGATTCTCTCTTGGTACTAATTTCTTTTTGTTATTTTAAGGAATTGAGTGAGAGAATTGACTCGCTATGGCCGTCGGGATCTTGTTTCTGCGGTGGAGCTTTTGGGTTAAGTTTACCGGGTCGGGTAACGGACCGGGTTATTTAAATTCGATTGGTTATGAATTAAAAGGGGTGGTGTTATTATAAATAAAACGGAAAAGGGCCAAATATATCCCTCTACTATCGACAAATATTTAAATTTGCCCTTCGTTATACTATCAGTGTATTTGAACCTCTACCGTTATCCTTTAGTTCAAAATTGTCCTTAGTTTTAACGGAGGGACACATGGTAGCTCAAGAACGAAAAACCCAACCCCCATTTTAAATATCCGATCCAATTAAAACCCGCCCCTAATTTAACCCACTAGCCAACCCATATCCCTCATTCTCTTCTTCTTCGTATCCCCTGCACAGGGGCGGCCTAACCCTAAACCAAGTAAAGCACTTGCTTTAGGTCCCAAGAATTTAAGGGCCCCAAAATTATTAAGTATTTCTTTCTCTCTCTCTCTCTCTCTCTCTCTCTCTCTCTCTCTCTCTCTATATATATATATATATATATATATATATAATTATTTTTTATTATCGATAATGTATTTATTTTTTGTCATATTAATGTTTAATAACTCAATTTCTTCCTCTAATTAATATAACCAAAATAATTTCTTGTCAATCTTATTTTACGTTTTTACTTAATTATATTTCTTTATTCATTAGTTAGTCACGTAACTATATCTAATAATCTAACTTATCATTTATTTTCCTCACATAAATTATACTCTCTCCGTCCCAATTTATATGAAAGTGTTTGACTGGACATGTGGGTAGAAATCATCTTACTAAGGGTAAAAAGAAAAATCTAAAGTTATATATATATATATATATATATATATATATATATATATATATATATATATATATATATATATGTGTGTGTGTGTGTGTGTGTGTGTGTGTGAACTGCAATCACAAACAACTTTAAACAAAAAAGAATTTTATTAATAAATATTGCGGGTTACAACTATGTTTATCCCTTGATTCTTCCCTCCGATTTATTATCCATAATTCGAGAGCCTTAGCGGCGTATTTCCCGAACGTAGAATATCACAAACGTAGAATGATATGCATCTCCTTGATGTGTTTGATGATCAAGAAGCATGTAGCAGCTGTCACGACCAAAAATCCACTAGTCGTGATGGCACCTAACCCAACCCGCTAGGTAAGCCAACTATTAATTATCCAATTTCAATTATATTAACAAGACAATTAAATAAAAGTAATTTACGGAATTTTATACTTTTCCTAAGGACTGGTAGTACAAATCATGAGCTTCTACGAATGGAGTTTACAAAGCAACAATGAAACAAATACACAGTCTGTTTGAAAAGTACATAAACAGAGTTTTATAAGCTAAGGCTACCCCGAACAAAGGAGGCAGCGACAACAGGGGCGCCGGTAAATCTTCAAGCCCCGCAACCATCGAGCACAACAACAACAACAACCGACATCTGCACGCAATGTGCAGAAGTGTAGTATCAGTACAACCGACCCCATGTACTGAGTAAGTAACAGACCTAAGCTTAGGTTGAAAGCAGTGACGAGCTAACACAGGATCGGGTCCAATGCCAATATTTCCACAACAATTCATAACAGAATTCTGGAGGGGTAACCCTTAACTTTGGCCAATGAGGCCATACTCTGAATCATCTTAAAATATCATCTCTCTCATCTGAGGGGTAAATATACCCAAATGCTCATATATATATATATATAAAAAACTGTGCAGGCTGATGAGGCCGCCATGAACGTGTACTGATAGACCAAAATATACCGGACTCGTCTACAAGCCTCTAGAGATAACTGAACTGTATTATGATCGGGACAGGGCCTTGACCTACGCATCAAAGCTGTATATATAAAATAGTCTCCAAAGTATAGACCTGGTAACTCCGAGAAAGTGGAGCGTACCAACCAAGCTGATGTTTGACTCTGTTTACCGGGAAGATCTATCCAGCTGTCTATCAGGACCTGCAGGCATGAAATACAACTTCCCCAGCAAAAGGGACATCAGTACGAAATAATGTACCGAGTATGTAAGGCAACAGAATAACTGAAAGCTGAAACTGAACTGATAATATAATAACTGAAAGTAACCGAGAGTCAAAGATAATCTGAAGATATGCTTACCTACTGATACTGACTCAACTCTCTCAATATATTAAGTAAAATAGTTGTCCGGCCCTATAAGGCTTGGTATATATATAACTGCTCTGCCGTAGTAGGATCGCTCATAGGCGCTCGGCCATACTAGGCTCTGTATCTCGGCCATGCTGGGCTCGCTCATAGGCGCTCGGCCACAGTAGGCTTGATATATAACTTACCATCTGATCTGAGGTTGCCCAATAGGGGCCTGCCCTTCGATTATAGCTCGATGGTAATGAAAATATTGTAATACTGTATATATAGGCTCTCTGCTCTCTTGACTGGAAGAAGACAATACTCAACTGAATATGATAAGGGAGAATACTATAACTTATGAGACTAGAAAAATATACATAAATTCAAGAATATGAATTTCTCTTTATGCCTCGTTATCAAACTTGTGTAATTACGAGATCATGCCAAAATGAAGGAAGGGCTTAGCCTTAACATACCTGTATGATCTCTTCGTTATTACTCAACCAAGCTTAACGCAACTTGTTGCATCTACAACAAGTGAAATGATATTGTCGTTAACATACAATGTCGTACCATCGTATTTGGCTAGTCGCATGACTTAAGAAAAATCGGGTAGCAACTCCCCTATTTTTAATACATCCCAAAGACCACTCAGGGTCATCAACAACCCAACAACAACAACGATAACCAACACTAGCAACAACAACAATATAATCCAATATGAGTTTCTCTGATTATCTTAACAATCATATTGAGCGACAAGCTCGTTTCTTTTACTCATAACAAGATATAAATTGAATCCAACTCTTATTCCATAAATTAGTTTACAACCTTTAGAGCATCATACTTATATGTACCATATTATTTCTAGTTTAAAACCTCCATAAAATTCCTTCCAAAATAGCCTCATACGTCTAGCACCTTAATTTTTATCGTCAATCACTTGTTTTTCATCTTTTCTTCTTCAATCAACTTAATTAACACCTAGGAAAGCTTAAAAACAGTAGCCACAACATTATCAAATTATTTCTCACAATTTTCAGCCACCACAAACCATATTTTTAACCACAAAATAGTCCAACAAAAAAGACAACCGTATCCCATGTTCCTTCAAGTGCATCTTATGGTTTTTAACTCAAACAACACAACCAACACAAATTAACCTTAGGCACAATCAAGAAGATGTTATACATACCTTTGACAGCAGCTACAACTCGAAACCCCATCTCAACTTAGCTCACAATAGCCCTCAATCACATCACAACATCGTAGAAGTATTCTCTTGTAGTCTTTAACACCTCTGATGAGGATTTGTGTTGATTTCTCTTGAGTTTAGTTCTTGGAACCTTGGACAAGTTCTTGGAGGATTTGGGAGTGTTTTGCAGTAATTGATCTCTGGATATTGACGAAATATAATGGATAAAGACAACGTATAAGCCCACCGCCTCAATTCTCCAAGCAGGTGGGTAAGCTACCTGCTTGGCAGCTTGAGCAGTGCCACTTCGGACACTTGTATCTCTCTACTCTGATATCGTATTGACAAAAGGATGCAGAGTTGGAAACTAGACACATAGGGCTTTAAATACATAAATATCTCCATGTAACTCTCAATATATTGGGAGAAAACTGCGACGCAACTTGGCCTATAAACCTGCCAGTTTCTCCGAAGTGCGGCAACGTGACTTGGTGACCCTAGTTTAAAATTCCATAGTTCTCTACCCGATGTCGTATGAATAAATGGTTTGGATCGTTGGAAACTAGGTTCTAAGACCTTCATTTTGGTATAATAATGTCCCAAATTGACACCATAAAGCATACGAATTCAATTTCTCAAAACGGCTCGTTACAAGGCAAATCTTAACTCGATTTTTTCGTAAGTTAAATCCAATTTTTCCCAAACTTTATATTTTATGTCCAAACATCATATATAGTCATATTATGACTTTACACTCATTAAATCATGATTAACAAGTCTCATATTCATTATACGTCACCTTAGGACGCACATGGCGTAACACCAAACTTGTCGACTTTCGACAAAACTTATCATCTTCATTTCGATTAGCTTCTAAGCCTTCCAACAATCTTGGTACTTGTTATTTATGATTTTAAATATTATTAACTTCCACGGTAACATGATTAACTTACTTTATAAATTTTTCAAAGATGATTTCATTTCTGAGCTAACATCAATTGACTTATGACGTTCTCTTAAGTACGAAAACATGGAGTGTAACAAGAATGGAATCACAGAGATGTATTTGTCACAGAAATACACCCAGCATCATTATCACATTTTTTTTCTTATTGGGTGATGATGCTGTAGACATTGAAATTTCAGCAGATCAAGATAAATCCTAAATTCAAGACGACTCTTGAAATATTAGAAGTCTATTAGGGTTACTTGGTGGCTAATCCACCCAAACCTTAATTTATGCCTATAAATAAGGCTACATATGTCCTTCAAAGACGATCTCAGCAGTTCCATAAACTCTCGGAATATGCATAAATAGATCAAATATATGATCTCCGAAATTCCATAAAACTCTTGGAATATTCATTAAGAGATCAAAGACATGTCAAATATGTCTTGCTCAAATTTCTAGCAACATTCAAGATCCAAGCGGAGTGCTGCTACATGCTTCTTGATCATCAAATACATCAAGGAGATGCATATCATTCTACGTTTGTGATATTCTACGTTCGAGAAATACGCCGCTAAGGCTCTCTAATTATGGATAATAAATCGGAGGGAAGAATCAAGAGATAAACATAGTTGTAACTCGCAATGTTTATCAATAAAATCCATTTTTTCTGTAAAGTTATTTGTGATTGCAATTTTATTTTTCTGCACACATTTATTGCAAACAAATTGGCACGCCCAGTGGGACAAGTTCTGCCCTTCATCTCTTCCTCCTGCAAATCGAAAACTATGAGTTTCAAGATTATCTGTTGTGATGGTCGGGTACTTCAAGTCTCGTCTTCAAGTTTTACCAAGCCTACACCTCGACAAACTTGAAGTAGGGGGCATTTGTAGATACTTAAATTTCAGCAGATCAAGATAAATCCTAAATTCAAGACGACTCTTGAAATATTAGGAGTCTATTAGGGTTACTTGGTGGCTAATCCACCCAAACCCTAATTTATGCCTATAAATAGTGCTACATATGTCCTTCAAAGACGATCACAGCAGTTCCATAAACTCTCAGAATATGCATAAATAGATCAAATATACGATCTCCAAAATTCCATAAAACTCTTGGAATATTCATTAAGAGATCAAAGACATGTACAATATGTCTTGCTCAAATTTCTAGCAACATTCAAGATCCAAGCGGAGTGCTGCTGTAACGACCCGACCGGTCGTTTTGAGCATTTGCACTTCGCTCGATAGTTTGGGGGCACGAGTAGCTCCGTATAATGTATTCGGACTTGTGTGAAAAATTTGAGTTCATTCAGAGTTGATTTGATATGTTTCGGCGCGAGTTTTTGGAAGTTGGATATTCATTAAGTTTGATTTGAGGAGCTTTTCGTCGTTTCGGTGTTGTTATGCGTGATTTGAGGCCTTGAGTAAGTTTGTGTTATGTTATGGGACTTTTTGGCATGTTCATACGGGGTCTCGATAGGCTCAGGTGAGTTTCGGATAGGTTTGGGTTGTGTTGCGCTCGTTTTTCTTATGTTGCGACGCCGTTTCTTCAAGCATAAATGATATCATATTGAACAAATAAGCTCTAATTTCTACTTTGATTGAGAATTAGATCCGTATCGTAATTCCGGAGCCGTAGCAAAAAGAATCGTCAAATTTGGACATCGTATGAGGAGTTTATGGCCATTTTACTAAGAATTTGGGCTGCGAGATTTCTCAGATAAATTACGAAATTGCCACTGATTTTGTATTTAAAAATCTGCACTATTTGCAAATATTGAAACCAACATATCTCCTTCATTATAAGGTCAAATGGAGTGATTCAAAAGCTTAACTTGACTAAAATTTCACAAGGAATCTATTGGAGGCATAGAAAGCGAGTTTCGGGATTATTTGGAACGAGAAACGAGGCAGAATAGCTGGCAGAAAAATATATAAAATAAGGGTTTGTTCATTTGGTTATATTTGAGTTGGGGAGCTCGGATTTGGGCATTTTGGAGGCGATTTTCACCATATGGATTGGGGTAAGTGTTATCCACTCGGTTTTGGTTATATTTCATGAATCCATCTTTGTTTTTGGGATTTGATTGATGATTTCAAAATGAAATTTGGGGGTTTTGTCTAAAATTTCATAATGTGAATTTTTGAGTTTTGAACATCGATTCGGAGTCGGATTTGAGTGAAATTAGTATGGTTGGAGCCGTAATTGAATGGGTTGTCGGATTTTATGAGTTTTGTCGGGTTTAGAGGCGCGGGCCCAGGTTGGGCTTTTTGGCCGATTTTGGGCTTTAGATTAAAGATTCGACCTTTTTCGATTGGGATTGGTCCCTTTAGCATTGTTTGATGTATTTGAGTTGTTTTTGGTTAGTTTCGAGCCGGTCGGAGGTCGAAACGCGTAGGATGGCATTTTTGGAGCATCGCTTGGCCTGCTCGGCTAGTATATTGGCTCGTTCGAGGTAAGTAACTCTTCTAAGCTTAGTGTTGAGGGTATGAAATCCTGAACTACGTGTTATGTGATTTGTTTTGAGGTGACGCACATGCTAGGTGATGGGCGTATGGGCGTGCTTCCTGTGAATTGGGACGCTGTTGTTCCCATGGCCCTGTATAGTGGACCTATTTTGTGGATATTTGTGCTTTCACCATGTGGTAAAGTAATTGAGCTGTCAATCATGCTAAATATCATGTCTAGGCTTCATGTTAATATTGTTTGTACCCATAGTGGTTATTTCTGGCTGTCATCTCACTGATTTACATTGATATTTTTGTACTCAGTCATATTCATGCATTCATATCATATCTCAGTCTTAGTTTTTGTTATTGATACATCATATCATTGTTGTCGGGCTAGATTCATGACATTGTGTGCCCGTGAGTGAGACTATAGTCATGCTTTTTAAATTCTCAGTGAAAGAAAATCCCAGATCTCTTACCGAAAATGCCAAAAGTACGAGTAAGTTTGAAAACTATAATTTTTCCAAATATCCTTTCCACAATAAATAAAATGTCTCATTTTCTTTCCAAATAACAAGTATAAAGTGCCTCTCCATACCCACATATCAATGTGTATAATAAGTAATGAATGATGTGATCTATCTAGCATGAGGAAAAATGCATATCTATGCCTGTATGTCATGTATGCATGTAAATGCCATGTATTTCAGAGATGATACATGTACTCACACTCTCAGAGTAGCCAATCTCATTGCCTCGCATCCTCTCCTACTAAGCACAATACTCAGCATACTAAATCACTCAGCACTGTATAATAACCGCTGTGGCGTGCAGCCCGATATATATATATATATATATATATATATATATATATATATATATATATATATATATATATATATATATATATATATATATATATATATNATATATATATATATATTGCGCTCACTGGAGGTGTACAAACTCCGGAGGGGCTCCTTCAGCCCAAGCGCTATATCGCTGCGGCGTGCAGCCCGACCCAATATCGCTGCGGCGTGCAGCCCGATCCATACATCGCTGCGGCGTGCAGCCTAATCCATATACATAAATATAATCAATATATCGTTGTGGCGTGCAGCCCGATCCCATAAAGTATAATAGATATAATAAGCTGCGGCGTGCAGCCCGATCAAAAAATGTCACTCTCACTCAGGCCCACGACCTCACCTAGTCATGAATCTCTCCATTCTCACTCACGGGCACACAATGTCATGAATCTAGCCCGACAACAATGATATGATGTATCAATAACAACAACTGAGACTGAGATATGATATGAATGCATGAATATGACTGAGTACAAAAATATCAATGTAAATAAGTGAGATGACATCCAGAAATAACCACTATGGGTACATACAATATCAGCATGAAGCCGATATTTAGCATGATTGACAGCTCAATTACTTTACCACATGGTGAAAACACAAATATCTACAAAATAGGGCCACTATACAGGGCCATGGGAACAATAGAGTCCCAATTAATAGGGTGCACTCCCACACGCCCGTCACCTAGCATGTGCGTCACCTCAAAACCAATCACATAACATGTAGTTCGGGGTTTCATACCCTCAGCACTAAGCTT